GCAATCTGTATTCGCCTGTTTATTTCTACAGTATGATCATTGATTTCATTAATTAAAGTTCCCAAGTACTGATATTTTTCTACTTGTTCTATCACGTTACCATTGATTGTCAATAGGTGATTTATATTTTGTGGTCTTTTTGTGATTGGCATTTCGTACTTCGTTTTTTTAGCGTTTATAGTAATTCTCATCTCAGCACTATTCATACTCAATCTTTTGATAAGATGTTGTAGATCCTCCATACCCGTTGCTATGATCACAGTGTCGTCTGCACGTCGTTGTGCAGACGACATGGCTGCGGAAATGGTATAAATGCTCATCTATTGAACTTTTCATGGCAGGCATATCTAAGATCAAAATAACCATGATGGGTGCCAACCTCTACCGAGGAGATGAGATGTAAAGAAGAAGATCTTTTACCACTCAGTTAATCAATAAAGATTAATTAGTCAGTTTTTTTGGTCCAGCAATGCATTATAAAAAAAATTTTGCCTTCTTTTGCCTTGTATTCTTTTATAAGATTTAAAAGTTTTTGAATTGAACCTACTGGTTTTTTGATAATAACATCTCTAGACGTTTATTACAAGCACACATCAATATGACTTACCATTGTATAAATTATTAACTGACTGTTTTATACTGAAATATTTAATATACGCAATCTATACGATCGATACTACTGTCTACAAATGCCCTAACGGCGTTTGATTGATCATTGACGTTTCTTTTCAAATGGACGTCACTTGAATAACACTCACTAAATGCCTGTCTGGCTCGTTCGTATTTCACATTTTATCTGATGTTTGATTGACTGCGTTACGCAAGATGTAAGCCGTAAGACGTAAACCATTAGTTCACAATCACTCTCTTTCGAACCGCTACTAGGGTTTTATTTTGCACGACCAATCGTATTAAAGTGAGCAAAAATCTCAGTTGAAGAAGACGAGAGTTATACTTTAGGAAGAAATCTATTCAAGTTGCTTTATATACGCTTCTGAAGCAGCGAATAGAAGCGATACAGGTGCATGTCTTGTCAAAGATAAATGTTCCGACTGCTAAATATGTGAGAAATGATATATTATTATTGCTGTATTAAACTAACTGATTCAGATATCAAAAGATCTATATCTGAATTACAAATAATCAATATACCCGGCTTCTAGTCTATGAACAACGCAGTTTTTAAAAACAATTAGATTTTTTTTAAACCTGTTACAATGTATCTTTAATGCAATTAATAACAAATAAGCTTCATTTTCCGCGTAAAAAAAATAGGTTTCATATATACAAAAAGGTAGTTGTTTGGTTTAACTTATTAAAATTCATTCAGCAATAAAGTAAAAAATTACTAATTAATGCAACAAATTATCATTTTATTTCCAGGATCATCATCAATCTCTTTTCCTTTATCCATTCCAGTTTTTGTTCTAAATCCCGTTCAGTATTTTTTACTAACACTACATCATCAGAATATATTAAACACCAGGGTATGATAGTTGTTGTCTCCTTACACATGTCTTCCACAATCTTAACATAGTCATCGAGAACTCCTTTATTATTCAGCGCTTACCACAAAATATCCAAAGAAACTCTATCATACGCTTTCTCAAAATTAATGAATACCACATAAATTTGTATTTCTGTATTCCTGTATTTTCCACCAGCTACTTCTTAATGAAAATTGCATCGGTTGATGATCTGCTCCTTCAGCATATCATCTCCAGGTTTATTCCTAGTGCCTAAGCCTAGCCTTTTTAGCTTTTAGCCATCTTTTTAGTAAAATTCTTGTCCTATTGGTGAATGCATTTTCATTGCCGGTTTAAAGAGGTTTTTAATATTTGATACCGTAATGCTTTTTTTATCTGTGACATATTCTACATAATTTAGTCAACATACCAATGCAGCTTAAGTACTTACAAAATAAACGATATCAGAAATAAAAACTAACTGTTGGTAGTGTATGCGACAGTATTTGAATAAGGGCTTGCATATGATTAAGCAAATACCTAATGAAGTATAATTTTATTTCTTGGTGAATGCTGCCCACCACTCTTATTTTGTGTATTAAGGAGCTATGCCAATAATATTGGAAAATAAATCGATTATAACACAGGGGAACTTGTGGCCTATGAATCCAAAAATCTCCGTAGATTTTGTCTAACACGTTAACTTTTTAAGATACAGGATACATATTAAGTTTATAGCTTTTTCTGGAGTGTCGAATCTGTGGAAATTCTCGCTTGATACTCCAACAATAGTCAGACTCCATAATCTTCAAATTTTCGTAAAATATCTCACCCCACTTATCATTGACTGCACCAAGATTTTTTAGGAAATCAGTAAGGTGGTTACGTAAAAAATGCAGTTTCATACTTATGCTTCAACCTAGCAGTTTGGAGATCTTCAAGAGTTTTTGGACAATTTCAGCGTAATGCTATGGTCATGTATTTTCAAGGAAGTCTTTAACAATGTTTTTGAAACCCAACCAAGCATTCTTTCAATGCCTGATATTGTTTTGGTGAACTATTCCTCTTTAAGAAGGTGCCGAATCTGTGGTCCATGAAAATCACGGATTTGCAAATTATATGGAAGGAAATGCCGAAATGAGATACTTAAATATGCCTCCTTTAATTGGCAAACTCTTAATGAATTGTTTTATAAGACCCAATTTTATATGTACAGGTGATGTACACTGTTTGGATCACCAGGTTTTACGTCAGATATTGTCAGCAAATTTGACTGACACATATACCAAAAGCGTAGATATTTTCTATATCCACTTTGCTGTCCAACAAGCAAGCAAGCCAGAAAATAGGATTTCTTTTCAAGGAAGTTTTTCTTTAAACTTTTTCTTCTTCTTCTTTCAGTGCCTATTCGTTCCGAATATTGGCAATCATTCTGGCTATAATTATTTTATTAACTGCTGCTTTAAATAAATTCGTTGTTGTTGTGGAGAACCATTTCCTCAGGTTCTTTAACCATGATATTCTCCTTCTCCCAATTCCTCGCTTTCCGAATACTTTACCCTGTAGGATTACCTTCAGTAATCTGTATTTAGTGCTGTTTCTCATTATATGTCCGAGATATTCCAACTTTCTCCTTTTAATGGTATACATCACCTCTCTTTCATGATATCACATGATATCCTTAGAATTCGCCTGTATAGTCACATCTCGAAGGCTTCAAGTTTTTTCTCCATTGCTTCAGTTAGTGTCCAGGATTCAACTCCGTAATACAATATTGAAAAGATATAACATCGTACGAGCCTTACTTTTATCTCCAGATTCAGATTGTGGCTTTTAAAGAGTTTGGCCATGTTATTGAATGCACTCCTAGCCTTCTCTATTCTACATTTTATTTCCTGTGAGTGATCCCATTGTTCATTTACTGTTGTTCCAAGATAGTTATACTGTTTTACTCGGTCCACTGGTGTATTATTGATAAGTAGTTGAGCGTCTCTAACTTTATTTTTGCTGATGATCATAAATTTAGTTTTTGTTATATTTACTTGAAGTCCAAATCTTTCACTTACTTCATTTACTTTGTTTATTAGTTGCTGTAAACTGTTCAAACTGTCTGCAAAAATAACGGTGTCGTCTGCATAACGGATGTTGTTTAGGCATTCTCCATTTAGAAGTATTCCATGTTCGCATTTTTCCAAGGCATCACTAAATATTTCCTCTGAATATAGTAGTATATTAAACTTTTTAATAGTCCCAAATCCCGTACTTAATTATTTAATTCTTACCTACCAAATTCCTTATGAACATATTCATCTTCAGTTTCAAAATTTTTATCGTTTAGGTCACTTTGATCATCATCAGATTCGTATTCCCGTATTTCTAAAGGAGGCAATTAATTTACAACTGGCAATGAGATTTCGACTAAATTATGCACTAGACGTATAGCTTATGGTAAACTAGAATACTCTATTTTACATTTATTTTTGTTGTTGTATTCTGGGTTTTTACTAACAAAAGAAACAATCATTTGAATAATTTCTGGGCTTCCTTCAAATTATAGGTATACCAAGTGGAAATTTATCACGTGTCCCTTTGGTCCACATCTATATACTCTCAATGCACTACTTACATACTTTATCAATAACTCATGATTTATGTTGATCACCAATTTTCACTTAAAAATAGATTTACCTGACCAATTTACTGATGTTTTTCTTTGACTGGAATTTGTAAAATTGCCATATATGCAACAAAACCAACCAGGACTGTTTAGACGCTTACGACAAGCATAGCAGAGATAAAAAAGAAAAGATTCAGTCCTTAAGTACTGACTAGTTCTATGCACTTCAGTAAATAAACACTAAATACTTGGATATAAACAAAAACTCAAACTCCACGTGTGACTGCGCTGCAATATTTTAAATAATTACAGTTTTAAAAGTAGCATGCCTAAATACCTATAAAATAGCTTAAACAATAAGCTCAACATTTTTTTTAAATTGTTTTCCAGTGTAATCACCGTTTAGCGGATTCCATTAGTGTCAATGGGATTTAGATCGAGATTGCACGCTGATATCTTGAACAACTCTAGCAGTATGATGCTGTGCATTATCAGGAATTAAAGAAAAAATATTTTCATTAAAACCACCTTAATGAACTGCCTTAATATGTCAATGTAGCAAACGGCTGTTAAACTTCATCTGCCGCGACCATGGCTAGACCTTGTGCTGAAAGCCAAGTCCGTTAATGTGTCCATTGAATTCCTGTTCCAGAACATGCATGAACCGCCTCTATATACCGTCTACTTCTTAGTGTAGTATGTATCCTAAAAACCTGTGATCTTTTCTCTAATACACTTTGTTTCTTCGTTTACAGTTATTTAAGATTTGTGTACCAATAAAGAATATAACTATCTGATATTGTTTGTGATCTGAAAATCTATCGTCTATATGAATCAGTCTACATACATATGTGTATAAATATTAATTTAAAATATCCTTTAACTTCACATGCTAATTTAATTTTCTTTTGTTTCAGGATAAACCACACAAGTGTAACTTATGCAGCAAATCGTTCCCCACCCCCGGCGATCTTAGATCTCACATGTACGTCCATTCAGGTTCATGGCCCTTTAAGTGCCACATTTGTTCTAGAGGATTTTCAAAACACACAAATTTGAAGAATCACCTCTTCCTCCACACTGGTAAGATATACAGTAATTATTTATTATTAATAACTGAATAAATGTATAGCTAAATATTTAAATAGTACATTAATGTTTTCAAGATGTTAATATAAATAATACAAATTTTTAACATTTTTTAAATCATTCCATGCCAAGATTCCTTAAAAATTTATGATACCTACAGGTGGAAATAAAAAACCAGCAGGTACTTATATAAATAAAATAGAATGAATGGAAGATCTTTCCCCATATCTTTTTGACTCCTCTTAAATACGAGATGAATGAGGTGAGGAGTTAATCGCGCGTGTAAGTGGATTTGTCAAAGGCATTAGGTTGAAGGGCTTTTTAGGGGATTAGAAGGTAATAAGCTGGTTGAAGGGTGTCATAAATCGAACGAAACAATATGGTGATTATAAGAAATCGTAGTTTATGGCTATAGACATAAAGATATTTTAGAGTAAATCTCAATCTTTGTATAGTATAAAGAAATAGCACCGGTGAAATGTAGGTTTCATTTTAAAAAAGAGTCTTGTATTTAAACTCTTATACATATAACTTTATAGACTACGGTTGTAGGAGAAATGTCCCGTATTTTTATATTAACAATAAAGTGACTTCATTTCGATTGTGACTTTGACGATGGTGTAAATTCTTACTGCTTTTAGATTCCGTTACAGCGTCCATATTGAAGCCATTTTATTGTTGCTTCTTTTGACGGAAAATATTTGATTTCACTTGTTGAAATATGAAATATGTTGTGAAATCCAACTTTTAGAATCCCCATACCTTTCTTACACCTTTATCATTGTCTGTTTTGTCTTGCAATTTATAGAAGGCATAGATTAAAGCAAAAATCTCAGTTTTGGTTTTGACAATGGAAATCTTCACATTTCTACTTTAGTAATTTATTCTTTACAACTTTTTGCTATGAACTCGTTTTTTAACAAAAAACCACAAAGAAAATGGACATGGATAAGTCCCAACGGTAATACAAAAAACGAAATATATTACATCTTTACAACAGAAAAAACCATCATCAAAGATGTTACAGTACTGAACCGCTTCTCAACCGGTAGCGATCATAGACTTGTCAGAGCCAAACTCAGGATTAATAGCCAATTCGAAACAAAAAAGAAAATAGAAAATGTATCGAAACTAGATATGGAGAAACTTAAGCAATCAAAAGACAAAAACAAAAAATAAAGGAAGGTATATCGGTCACTAGAGATTTGGAAAACAAAAATATCGATGAAATAAATCAGCTATTAACCGATACATTAGCAAAGGCGGGAAAAGAGGTAGCACAAACAAGAATAAAAAAGGAAAACTATGTATCCCAGGAAACAAAAAATCTTATGAGTAAAAGAAAAACATTACTGGAACAAGATAAGAGAAACACAGTAGATTACAAAGAGGTAAACAAAGCTATCAGAAGGAATATCAAGGATTATAAAAGGAGAATACAGGAAGAAAAAATAGAAAAAGCAATTGAACAAAATAAAAACATGAAGTGCTTAAAACCACAGCTTGGAACCATACAAATTAATAGTATAAAGAACAAAGAAGGTACAGAGACCAATAATGTAGAAGAAATTATACAGATAACACAAGAATATTATAAAAACCTCTACAATACAAAACAGAAACCAACCCAAGAAATCCTTAAGCAACTACATATAAAAATAAAAAATGTTAATTCCGACTTACCACCAGAGATCAGTAAGAACGAGATAAGAAGAGCACTCAAAGAGATGAAGAACAATAAATCGCCAGGAAAAGACGGGGTGACTGTAGAAATGCTAAAACATGGTGGGAAAACAACTAGAGAAGTTTTGTACATACTTATGAATAAAATTTTAATGACAAAACAAATACCCAACAGTTGGAACGAAGCAATAACACTGTTACTATTTAAGAAAGGAGATAAAAAGGATCTAAAGAATTACAGACCCATAACTTTATTAAATGTGATGTACAAACTATTAACCAAAATATTAACAAATAGATTAACAACTAAATTAGATGGATACCAGGCAAGAGAACAAGCCGGATTTAGAAAGAGCTTCAGTACAAGTGACCACCTTTTAACGATGAAGATTTTAATCGAAAAAACTAACGAATATCATATCCCGCTATACACGGCATTTATTGACTTTGAGAAGGCATTTGATAGTGTGGAACACTGGGCAGTACAGAATTCCCTACAAAACAGCAGAATAGACTATCGATATACCGACTTAATTACAAATATATACAACAAGGCAACAACAACTATTAAGCTAATGAAACAAACGGAGCCTATTAAAATAAACCGAGGAGTAAGACAAGGAGATACCATATCGCCCAAGTTATTTAACCAAGCGCTAGAAGATGTTTTTAAACGACTACACTGGGATGACTTGGGAATTAATATAAACGGGCAAAATCTGAATCATTTACGATATGCTGATGATATTGTATTAATAACAGAAAAAAGTGAAGAATTACAAAGAATGATGGAAGAACTAGATAGAGAATCGACAAAAATTGGACTTAAGATGAATTATAGTATAAAAAAAACCATGACTAATCAACCAGAAGAACTTATGATTACAGTGGCACAAACAAAAATAGAACAAGTAAAAGAGTATATATATATATATCTAGGCCAAATCACTAAATTAAATAAAGAAAATCAGACCGAAGAAATAAAGAGAAGAATAAGATTGGCCTGGGCATCATTCATAAAACTGTCTTATATTCTAAAGAATTCAAAATACCCCCAATACTTAAAAACGAGAGTCTTCAATCAATGTATACTCCCTGTCCTCACATATGGCTCTCAGACATGGACGTTTACAAAGGAAAATATGGAAAAAATAGCAAAGACAGAAAGATCCATGGAAAGACAAATGCTGAACATTAAACTATCAGACAAAAAAAGAAACGAATGGATCCGTAATAAAACAAAAGTGAAAGATGTCTCAACCCAAGTAGCAAAGCTTAAATGGAAGTTCGCCGGACACACCCTAAGGCAGAAAGATGAAAGATGGACTAAAATAATTATACATTGGAGACCATGGAATCACAAACGTAAAAGGGGAAGGCCACAAATGCGATGGTCAGATGACCTGAAGAAACACGCCGGGTCAAAATGGATGCAAATTGCCCAAGATAGAGAGGCATGGAAGAAGGAGGAGGAGGCCTATATCTAAGGATGGATTTTAAGGGCTGTATAGATAGATAGAATTTATTCTTAGATGTCGCTATAGCATCCATAGTGAAGCCATTTTGGGGCTGCTTCTTTTCTTTTCAATTTAGAGCTTCTGTACTAGTCGCTTTGATGATTCCTAGTAGGATGAAATACGTATATGCGCATATATAGAGAGTCCATACATGAAATCAAATGTTAACGGATTTTTTTGTTACAAAATTGTTTATGTCAAAAGATGATAGATAGGCTTTGTATGGTTATTTTCATATTATTCTTAATAAGTTCATTGGTATTGTTACGCTAATGAATATAATTTTTATATTCAGATATATTGGTGACATTTCAGATAATGCATCATTATTGTTGATCTACAATATCGCCTTAGCCATTCGGCATTGCAATAAATTATTTGTATTTGGATTTTAATACCTATGGTGTGATGAAAAAAAAATATGCAAACATCTTTTTACATTTTATTATTTGTATTTTGACAACTATTATGTAAGATTTTGACACTGTTGGATCTAATTTTTTATTTTTCTTTTGTTTCAGGTAAGCCGAACGGTACGCGCAAGGGCTGAATATTCTCAAAAATTTGAAAAATTTGTAAGTGATCTTAGTTTAAGAGTTATTTATATTATTGTTATCAATTTCTCTATTTATATAAATGGATATATTTTTTGTAATACGTATTAGTTTACGTACTCATATGTATAAATTGTATATAAATAAAAAGTCTTGTAATATATATTTTTTGTTTTATTTTAATATCAGTTTCTTACAAGATAGGTTTTGTTACGGTAAAAAATATTACATGTTAATTGTTACAGTATTAATTAAAAGTCAACTTAAACTTTGCGTTCCGGCTACTGAGAATTAACTTTATTGAGAACTCGTAATTTCCAAGAGGAGTATTCTCCTACGAAAATTGCTTCTTCCTTCAGAGATTAAAAAGGAATCCACTAATAAATAAATATTCTATATGTACGCCAACTTTCTATTTTTTAACCTGCGAATACCTTTAGGTATTTAAACAAGTACTTATGGACACAAATAGCTGCAACCTTCAAGGTCATACTATCTGGTATATCGAAGAATGGCTATTGAGTTGTTTGAAAATTAGCGAAACGTAAACATCCATAAACAACCAACTTTGTAATTTGTGACACGTTTTTTGTAGAGTTTTGATATCAAATACTAAGAAATAATCGAAAAGAATTTATTATTAAAATGAATAACGTAAGTGCCGTAAAAAATTAGATTTTAAGTACACAAGCTCGTAAACTCATTACTCTTTTAAAAAACAAACAGGAAGCTCAAGGAAATGCATTTCTTATTAAGTTATCCAAATAACAAGAACAATTAGCTACTTTGACAGGTAAATTGATGGTATATTTATATTACAAAAACTATGTTATTTCTCTGCAAACTTAATATATGAAGATAAGAAATAATCGAATAGGAGAAAAATATAATATTAAATGTTTATCCAAAAGTGTCAGTTTATCCAGCTTAAAAAAAATCGCTAAAATCATCGTGAAGTTAAAAATGGAGAAACTCTTGGATTCTCCACATCTAATAAACGACAAAAAAAGTCCACAAATTTACAGCTAGATGCATGTGATTAACGTATCTTTAGGAGACAGATATATAATTGTCATCTTAGCAATCAACAAGTTCCCACGATTAAGAAAAATCATCAGGAATATTTAAGCAACCTGAAGTATGCAGGAAGTAGAGAAAGTATGAGAAGGGACTTTCTAAACTTGCATTTCGCTGAAAAAAACAGTCGACAATAGAAACATGTTGACAGAAAAACATACAGCTAGACATTTAAGGCTGCAATGTCTAAGGAACATTAAGGAAGCTACAAAAGCAAATACATTTACAGTGTTTACTGACGACACTTTATTAACGAGTCATATTTTCAAAATCAATTGGTGTAACACCAGTAATAATGAACTTTAATAATGAACTTAAAACCCGTGTCAAAAGGGCAATGCTTAGTTATTGTCGAAACAGGAAATAAAAAAGGTTTTGTTCCTGGCTCTTATTTGAGATGGAAGTCGACGTCAAAATCTAAAGACTATCATGATGACATGATCTTTACCAATTTTAAAAAACGATTTGAAGACCAATTTTTAAGTAAATTGCCTCCAAATAGTGTAGTAGCGTTAGATAATGCACCATACCACAATACACAGGAAGATAAATGCTTCATATCCTCATCGAAGAAGTGTGTTAGTTTATAATAAAATTGCATAAAACTCGTTATGTAAAATATGCAATCAATAAACTATATGAGCACAAGGACATGATGAGTCACACCATACCATCGCGATTTGAACCCAATTAAAATGGTTTGGGCAGCTTTAAAATCATATGTGAAAGCCAGAAATGTAGACTTTTATTTACGTCAATACAGCAGCTATCGGACGAATTTTTTCAAACATTTTCTGTGGAAGAATAAAAAAAAATAACATAAAAAAAGTCATCGCAACTGAAGATAAGTTAATAATAAAAGAGCCAATAAAAACTGGTAAGTATAATTTTTTTAAACATTTACCACAACCGTTAAAAACAATTTTATTTATTTATTTTTCCTAATTTACCTAAATGTTATTTACAACCAATTTATTATACCTAAATAGCTTATTATTAGCTTTCTAATTTAATAGAATTTATTAGAACAGAATAGATTCATTTTAATAATTATGACGAATACTCAACTTAATAACATATTTTATTAATTACCTAATTTTATAATTCAAAAATAAACCTTTAAAATAATAATCGATTAGGAAACGCCGCATACATGACTCTCTCTATCGCTTCCCTTGTTCGTGGTTTCAGATAAATATGTCGATATCAAAAAAAAAACTATACTCGATATCAAAATAAAAAAAACAATATATATGGTTTATGGTTCACTCTTGATCAAAGTATATCCTGGGGTAAACTAAATTGTTTGTGATAAAAAATAAAACAATAACATTTAAAGAAAAAATAAAAAAATCATTATTAAAAATCTGATTTTATATTTAAGGGTCTCTAAAGGGAAAGTAAAATTCTAACATAAATTGTGTCAAACAATTTGGCAAACAAATTAAAAAAAAATCTTTTCCAGATTTTATTAAAATAATTACATAGTTGATCGTAGAAAAGATATTAAACCCTTAACGATAAAAATAACCAGGCAAAAAATTATCAGATAATTTCTTGTCTGATCCCCTGATAGCCATAAATTTACGAAAAAGGACAATGCGCTTAATATATTGCTGATACATAATAATAGTTATATTATTTAACAAAGGAATGGATAGGTCGCAGCCAACCATATGAAATGTCCTCAATATAGTAACAATCTGTTCAAACCATGAAAATAAGCCAACTCTCCAAAGTCACCTAAATCTCCAAATTTAAAATTCACCAGTAGCAGGCAAGATCTCCAAAATAAAATTCATACAACTTACAAAACCTACATAAAAAACATGGGCATTAACCCCCTATCTAACTGCGTTTTTTCGACAAGAGGAAAACCAAAACTAAATCATCACACAAAGAGAGTCAAAAATCTATACTTAGTCCATGTTGTAAGACGACTCCCGTAGAAAAACAATGTTTCTAATTCGGTTTCTTTGCGGATTCTTGTTTAAAACGTACCCTTTAAACAAATTTGAGGGAGCCAGGCAAAGTTTTTTGGACAGAAACTGTTTAAACAATTTTTTTAAACAAATTCCAAAAATTACCTCTGGAATCTGCTCCGGAAACACTTTTTAAGTAGGTACACAATAAATTTCAAAATCAATGTCAATATTAATTGGGAATTTTTCGGATAAGTACGTTAATACACCAGTACCGCGGTGGATTAAAAATCGAGTGGACACACATAATTAACAATTAAAAATCAACGGTCTAAATTGAAATAAACTCTGATTGCTCTTTAGAATCTTAAAACTGAGTATATAAACTTCAATTTAGACACTTGGCAACGTCAAAAATAATAATTTACATATGAGTTCTTTCGTATTTTCTTCGTTAAAACCGTACAACTGAACTCGAAAAATGAGAATCATTAGAGAATTTATATCTGCAGAATGAGTAGGTAGTGTCTACTGTTCCCTAAAATAAACTGTCGATTGTAAAAAAAAATATTCGGGCACAATTCGAAATAGTTTTGAGAAATTAAAATTAAATTTAACGACAAATCAAGCATGTTATTTTCATTAATTGTAACATTTTTAGTGTTACAAACAATTCAAAAAGGACTTGGTATTTATAAAAGGTAAGAATAATTTGTATACTATGTCTCAGCTTTTTTATGTATTTAAGTTGTTTTTTTTTTGTTTAAATAATAATTACTCCATCAAACCTCACTTTTTTATGTTTAGAATTGACATTACTGAAGTTCTTTATCAATGTAGAAAATTTAGGTCTTATGCGGTTCGTAAATATAAATGAGCAAATCGCTTGTTCATCAGCCAAAAGTATTTTCTTAATTCAGAAACCAATTTTCCATAAATCTTTCCCTTTAAGCATTACGGAAGTTAAATACTATATATCATTCCTACACAAATATGTGATAGAAATATAAAATCTTTGGCTACCTTGGAAGTACGGCCTTCATATGTCAAAATGTCACTATTTTTAGAAAAGGCTGTTTAAAAAATCAATGAATTTGTCCCTTCATATGTCAAAATGTCACTATTTTTAGAAAAGGCTGTTTAAAAAATCAATGAATTTTGAAAATATGATAAATCTTTACCCATAACTGTGAACAGGTTAATATTTTGGTTTTGGCTTGTAATAGTCCTGTAAAAAGCTATAGTCAGTGCCATACTTCTTTAATCCCATTTTAGGCCATAACATTTTTGAGTTGTGACGTTCTTAAAAAATAATGTGTTTATTAATTTTTTTTTTACGCGTTTTTAACTATTTGTATTTATATTTTTTAATATTTGTCAGATAAAAAAAGAACAAAAGTTTCTATAGTGTAAAACCTAAAAAATACTACCGTTCTGCAGTAAATTATAGTTGAAAAACACTTGTCTTCATTTGAAAATTTATTCTTTAACTTTACATAATACACTTTCCTTATTGCTTTTGATATATAGCATGAGTCTATCACTAAATCCTTAAGACTATATTTTTTATAATATAATATAATTTTTTCTATATCTGGAATAATTCCAACTGAATTTATTATTTTTTTAAGACTGTTGTCAGTCGAAATAATTTGTGGGTATGCAGTTAGGTTCAAAAATAATAGAAGTTCTAATAATTTTCTAATATACTGACATAATTCAAAAGAATACTACAACTTACTTTAAACGTGACCTTAACTTCTTTATAAGACTGAGACAACTCAAAATTCAATCTTCGCTTATCCACTGCTGGACATAGATCTCCCTCATAATTTTTCATCTATTTCGAACTTGTGCCTCTTGCATCCAATTCATATGACAACGTTTTAGATCGTCAGTCCAACGTGTTGGTGGACGACCTCTGCTTTAGTAGGCATCATCTCTTGGTCTCCATTCCAGTATCCGCTTTGTCCATCTATTATCTGTCATTCGAGCAACGTGACCTGCCCAGTTCCATTTCAGTGTTGCTACTCTCTCTCTACTGCATCAGCCACTTCTGTTCTTTGTCGTAGCTGGCGATTTGGGATCTTGTCTCGTGGTTAAACGCCTAACATAGCACGCTCCATCGCCCTTTGACACACACGGATCCTTTGAACTGTTCTCC